CCTCCTTCCCTCCTCCCCCCGGCTCCTCTCTTTCCCTTTGCGGCTGATTGAACGAAAGTCCGGCGTGGCTTCGGGGAGGACGGCGGGTTACCCTCAGTGCAGCCTCTCGGATCGCAGCAGAGGAACGGTGCAGCCCGGCTGCTGCCAGCGCTGACGTTTGGATTGCCTGGCTAATCTCGTTACGGGGACGGATGAGCGGAGTGCAGGCGCGCAGGGCTGCAACAGTGCAAAAGTAGCAGAGCATCCTTATTCGTTTACCCATTAACGTCCTTTGTGATTTCCAGAAGCATTAGGAGCTCCTTTCTGGAGGAGCTGCGATTCCCTCCTGCAGTGCTGCCGGAGTGCTCCGTGTTCTGCTGCTGAGCTTGGGCTGAGGTGAGTGCATCCCTCCCAGCTTTGGGGCCAGAGCTCCTCTTTCTCCTTTCTCTTCCCTCCGTGGAGCTGTTCCACTTTGTGCTGCCATCCCTGAGGGGCTGCTTGCTGGCACTGCCTCTCTTCTGATCCCCTTGCACACCATTTCCTTGCCAGCAGGCTGCAGCGGAGAACTCCCAGGCTCAGGGCATGTCCATGGGAGCCACCTGAGCCATTGGGTTTTGGGGTCCTGGGATATCCTACAGCCCCCCCAAAGAGGCCATGGAGCCCGGTGGCGATGGTGCCAATGCCAGCTCCTCTGGGCTGGCCCTGCAGAGCCGCCCCAACGGCAGCACACAGTTCACTGGGGTGCAGCTCATCCAGTCCTTCAAGCCCCTCATCATCCCCTGCTATGCCCTGGTGGTCCTGATTGGCATCTTCGGCAACTACCTGCTGCTCTACGTCATCTGCAAGAGTAAGAAGATGCACAACGTCACCAATTTCTTCATTGGGAACCTGGCCTTCTCGGACATGTTGATGTGTGCCACCTGCGTGCCCTTCACCCTGGCGTACGCCTTCAACCCGCAGGGATGGATTTTTGGGAAGTTCCTGTGCTACTTTGTATTCCTGATGCAGCCCATGACAGTCTATGTCTCTGTGTTCACACTCACAGCCATCGCAGTTGACAGGTAAGGGGACATGGGGGTGGCACGGGGTCCCCACCATGGGCAGGATGGGGCTGATGCTGCTTGGTGGTGCAGCTCAGGGTGTTCAGTGCTGGGCACAGAGCTGGAAAAGGAAAATCCCAGGGCTTCTGCTGCACGGGTGCTACAGAAGAGCTGCTGTTTGATGGGTTCATACTCCCAGCTGTAGCACTTCTGGTGCTGTTTGCACTACGCAGTGGGCAATGCTACCAGACTGGGTGTGGGCATCCAGGGGCTTTGTCACTGGGCAGCAGTGCCCCTGCTCTGAGCTCAGGCTGGATGTTGCCTTCTCTGGTGGATGCCTGTGGTTTAGAAATGTACAGATTTGCCCCCAAATAAAAGTTCCATGGACCCAAAACGGGAGGCTGTGCCGTCCCAGCAACTTCACTGTGCTCAAATCAATGGTGGTGGCACTGCTGTGACTGTGCCAATGGAGCTGACGCCTGGGTCTGCAATGTTCCCATGCCACCAGCTCTATCGTGAGCACAGCAGGGATGGGCTCCAGCAAAGTGCCCTAGCGCAGCCTTCTTCCTCCACCTCAGAGCAGAGAGATTTTCCTCCCGGGTTTTCATCCTTTGTTGCACCAATTTGCATCAAAATTACATTGTGTTCTGTCACCTGGATGGAGAGTGCTTGTGCTTTCTGAAACGGACACAGGCAGGACCTGATGGTAGTGGGGGGGAGGAGGAGGGAATGTATGAAAACTGTGTTTCCATAAATACATGGCTTCATCAGAGAAGCTGCACAAGCCAGGCAGAGCCCAAACCACTGATATTGGGGGAGAGAGCCCTAGAGCAAAGGGGAAAGGCAGAACCAAGGGAGGATGAGGTGGAATAGCTGAGAAAACTCTGTGGAGCTGAGCTCCTGTGCTGGTGGATTTGAAGTATAACTTGCATGAGCTTGCCCTGTTCTTTTGCTCTTCATCAAAGCCGCTTTTTTGGGGGATGGAAGCAGAAATTTGAGCTCTTCCTACTACAGAGGCATCCACGGTCCTCACCATGAATCATTGCTGAGCTTCATCTTGTGTGGTTTCATCCCAGTCCCTTTGGCTGTGGCACACCCTGGCTGGAGCTCTGCTGCACTCCCAGCCCATGCCCAGCTCAGTGGCTGTGCCCTGACCGCAGGCAGAGGGTTCAGTTTCTCCCTCAGTGAGGCACAGCTGTCATGCAGCATAGAATGGGAAGGAGCCACGTGAAATCCCAGCCTTGCCGTGATGATGATCTGGGGTGGGAAACGCACCCTAACCTTCCATCCCCACACATTAAGGGCTATGGGGTGCTCTCTTTCATAGGTACTATGCCACTGTGCACCCTCTGAAGAAGCGCCTGTCGCTCACCAGCTGCATCTACGTGGTGGGGGCCATCTGGCTGCTGTCCTGTGCTCTGGTGGCCCCTGCTGTGGCCCACACGTACCATGTGGAGTTCCAGCAGCAGGGCTTTGCCATCTGCGAGGAGTTCTGGATGGAGCAGGAGGAGCAGCGCCTGGCCTACGCCTACAGCACGCTGATTGTCACCTACATCCTGCCTCTCTCTGCTGTCTCCCTGTCTTACCTGTGCATCTCTGTGAAGCTGCGGAACCGCGTGGTGCCCGGGCATCCCACGCAGAGCCAAGCTCAGTCTGACCGCTTGAGGAAGAGGAAGATTTTCCGCCTCATCGTGCTGGTGGTGGCTGCTTTCGGGGTGTGCTGGCTGCCCATCCACGTCTTCAACATCATCCGTGACATCGACATCGACCTCATCGACAAGCATTATTTCCTGCTCATCCAGCTGCTGTGCCACTGGTTTGCTATGAGCTCCGCCTGCTGCAACCCTTTCCTCTACGCCTGGCTGCACGACCGCTTCCGTGGGGAGCTGCGCAAGATGTTCTCCTGCGAGCCACGAATCCTCCCAGCCAGCCACTGTGCTGCTGCTGTGCTCTGAGCTTGGCTCCGGCACTGGGGTGTTGTAGTCCTGAATGAATGAAATAAGGCCCTGGGAAAGCCAGGAGGAGTTTGGTTGGGTTGTAATTAGCTGCCTGTCGCGTTAATTTAATAGCATGACTTCCATTAAATCCAGGATTGGGTGTTGAGAATGGAATTTTGCATGAGGTGGTCACACCTGGCGTGTCTCTATGCGTACCAGCAAGCTGGCAGTGTGTGCCCTGCATGCATGGAGCTGTGCTCGGGGTCATGGAATCATGGAGTCATAGGGTCATTTGAGCTGGAAGGGATCCTTAAAGGCCATCTGGTCCAACTCCCCTGCCATGAACTGGGGTGCCCACAGCTCCATCAGATGCTCAGAGCCCCATGCTGACTGACCTTGAATGTCTCTAGGTTGCACCTCTCTGGATGACCTGTGCCAGCACCTCCCCACCCTTGCTGTAAGCAGCTTTTTCCTTATACTCAGCCTAAATCTCCCTCTTTTAGCTTGAAACTGTTTCCCTTTGTCCTGTCACAACAGACCCTGCTGAAGCGTTGGTCCCCATCTTCCTTCCAGCCCTGTTGGGTACCAAAAGGTGCTCTCAGGTGCAGCTCCTTGTCCCTACAACCCACACCGTTGGAGCTGTCCCCATTCCAGGCAGCTGTGGGCAGCAGAAGCCATGCTGACCCTTCCCTGGCTCATTTGGCCACTGCCTGGGTGCAATTTGCTGTGGGCTTGAGCCTCAATTTGCACCGCCTGTGATTGCACATTGTGTACCTAATGGAGCTGGCTATTTATAGCTGATGGGTTCTGCTCTCCAAGGCAGGGACACAGCTCCGAAACTGCTGTTTTCATACTTAATTCCAGCTGCTGGAGGGGCTGTGCTCAGCCATGGCCCAGAGGGGAGGGCAGAAGTGTGGGCACAGGTGGGGCGACCCATGTGCAGCCTGGGGGCAGAATCTGGGGGTAAAATAGGTAGTGGGGATGGATAGTATGGGGGTCAATGTGGGGCTCACAGCCCAGGTGGGTTCTGGGGGTGGAGGAGGAAGAAAAGGAGGAGAAATAGGTGCTCCTGGTGGCAGGGATGGGTGAAGAAGGGGTTGGATACATTCCTGCATGCACCTGTGCATAAACATATTCCTGTGAGGACATGTGTACCTATACACACACCCCTATATGCACACACACACATACCTGTGCCCTTTACGAACATCTGTATGCACACACATGCACACCTGTCCACACACACCTGTACTCAAACACACGTGTACTCGCACATCTTTATATGCAAACACCTGCACACACACCTCTATATGCACTCACACACCTGCACACACACCTGCACTCACACACCTCTATATGCACTCACACACCTGCACACACCTCTATATGCACACACCTGCACTCATACACCTCTATATGCACTCACACACCTCTATATGCACACACACACCTGCAATCACACACCTCCATATGCACATACCTGCACACACACACCTCTATATGCACTCACACACCTGCACACACACACCTGCACACACCTCTATATGCACACACACCTGCACTCATACACCTTTATATGCACACACACACCTCTATATGCACACACCTGCACACACACACCTTTGTATGCACACACCTGCACACACACACACTTTTATATGCACACACCTGCACTCACACATCTCTATATGCACACACACACACCTCTATATGCACACATACACCTCTATATGCACACACCTGCACTCACACACCTCTATATGCACACACCTGCACTCACACACCTTTATATGCACACACACCTTTATATGCACACACATCTCTATATGCACTCACACACTTTATATGCACACACCTGCACACCGCACTATCAGGCCCCGCCCACAACGAGGCCACACCCCCTTTCGCCAAGCCCCGCCCACACCGCATATCTCGCGAGATCGAGGGCGTGGCTCACGCCACACCGCGTCGGGAGCTTCCGGCTCCTCATCGCTCCGCACCGCCCGCCATGGCGGCGGCGGCGGCGGCCCCTCGCTGGGTGCCGACCCACGTCCAGGTGACGGTGCTTCAGGCGCGGGGGCTGCGCTCCAAAGCGGCCGATGGGCACGGCGGCAGCGATGCTTACGCCGTCATGGCGTTGGGCCGCGTCAAGTTCTCCACGTCGGTGGCGGAGCGATGCCAGGGGCAGCCGTTGTGGAGGGAGGAGGCGACGTTCGAACTGCCGCCGCCGCCTCGACCCGCAGCGCTGCGCCTCACCGTGCTGCACCGAGCGCTCGTCGGCCTCGATAAGTTCCTGGGCCGCGCCGAAGTCGATCTGGCGGCGCTGAGGGAGGACGGAGGGCGGAGGCATTGCAGGTGAGGGGACGGAGAGACCGGCGGTGGCACTGCGGGCTGCGGGGGGGGGGGGTGTCGGTGGGAGGAGCATCAGCGGGTTTGATGATGACACCGAGCTAAGTGGTGGGCATGAGGCGATGGGATGCCGTTCAGAGGGACCTCAGTAGGCTTGGAGGATGAACCTCAACACGGCAGAGTGCAAGGTTTGGCACTTGGGCCGGAGGGATGGCAGGCATCAATACGGACTGGAAGGAGCAGTCCTTGAGAGCAGCCCTGCAGAGAACGACCTGGGGTCTTGATGGGTGAAAAGCTTAACATGAGCCAGCAGTGTGTGATTACAGCTCAGAAAGCAAATGGGATCCTGGGCCCCATCAGCAGAGAGGGGGCAGCAGGGACAGGGAGGCGATCATCCCCCTCTGCTCTGCTCCTGTGAAGCCCCATCTGCAGCACTGCGTCCAGGGCTGGAGACCCCAGGACAGGAAGGACAGGGAGCTGCTGGAGAGGGTGCAGAGGAGCCACAAAGATGGTCAGGGGGCTGGAGCACCTCCAGTATGAAGTCAGGCTGAGGGAGTTGGGCTTGTTCAGCCTGGAGAAAAGAAGGTTGTGGGGTGACCTCACTGCAGCCTTCAGTACCTAAAGGGAGCCTACAAACAGGAGGGGAGTCAACTCTTGGAAAGGGGAGATGACAGCAGGACAAGGGGAAATGGTTTGATGTTGAGGAGGGAAGATTGAGGATGAATGTCAGGGGGAAGTTCTTTGCCATGAGAGCAGTGAGGTGCTGGAACAGCTGCCCAGAGAGGCTGTGATGCCCCGTCCATCCCTGGAGGTGTTCAAGGCCAGGTTGGATGGGGCCCTGGGCAGCCTGGGCTGGTGTTAAATGGGGAGGTTGGTGGCACTGCGTGTGGCAGGGGGTTGGAGATTTGTGATCCTTGAGGTCACTTCTAACCCTGGTGATTCTGTGAAGGCTCCCAAGGGGCTCTTGAAGGGATTTGAGTGGTTCTGGGCGCCCTTTAGGGGGGAGCTGAGGGTGGTGCTGGGAATGCATGAGGGAACGCTGGCATCCATCCTGTAGGGCTGCATTGGGATCTGATGATATGGGGGGCAATGGGGATCTGAGCCCCGCTGCTGTGGCACTGCTGGTAATCCGAGCGATCACCTCAGGGCTGTGCTCAGCTTTCCTCTTTAAATATTTACACGTGAGAGCCAGCAGGTCACGGTGAGAGGGAGGAAGTTATCTGGAGAAGCTCTGTGTGTTGGCAGCACATTGTTCATCCAGTTCCAATCCCCTGCTATGTGCAGGGTCGCCAACCAGCAGACCAGGCTGCCCAGAGCCACATCCAGCCTGGCCTTGAATGCCTCCAGAGACATCCACAACCTCCTTGGGCAACCTGTTCCAGCGCCTCACCACCCTCTGGGTGAAAAACTTCCTCCTAATATCCAACCCAAACCTCCCCTGTCTCAGTTGAGACTTAGTTCAGGCAGGGAACGAAAGCGCAGTGCTGCCAGCACGCATGGATTTGTCTTAATGAATGCTTAGCAGAGCTTAATCGCGTGTAAGAGCAGATAATTCGGCGTTATATGGGCTCATGTCACTGCTGGCTGTTAGGCTCTGAGCAGGAAGGTGTCTCCTTTAATAGGCTGTGCAGCTCTGTGTCATACTTACACCTTTGGACGTACACAGCAGTGCGGTGTCCTGAAAGCCCTGGGGTGGTTCCTGGAGCTTGGGACAGCACCAGCACTTTGTGATGTGGTTTGAGAACAGCACTGAGTCACCTTCCTCCTGTGCTGTTCACACCGGTTTGGTCAGAGCCAGGTCTGGGTCGTGTTTGTTAACAAAGCTTGTGAAGTCCTAATTAGCACATAGCTGTCATTAGGGGCTGTGTCAGGCTGTAATGTGTTTACATGCAGAGCCTCGTGCTTACAGCCAGCGAGTTGGCATGGGCTCCTTTCTTTGTGTTGGGACCAAGGGAGAAGCATGGAAAAATGTTACTTTGGTGCTCCTGGGAAAACTGATGGTATTCCCCATCATTAGCATTGATTTGCTCTTGCTTTCCTGTTTGCAGCCTGTTCCTTCCACCATCACGTAGCTGCTGTGATGGCATAGAGCATCAGGGGCTGCTGCTGAGCCCTGTGCTGTGACCTGGGTGCTGGCCAGAGCCACTGCTTGTGTTTTGGAGTGGCTGACAGCGCTGGTTGTTTGCAGCTAAAATTTGCCTGTGCAATACAGGTAGCTTCTAGAAACTACACGATGCAGAGCAAAGTCTGCCCTGTACTTTGCTGGGATCAAGCATGGGCACAGAGGGCTGTCCAGGGAGGTTCCAGCTTCCCACAGCCTTCGCTCATTCACTTCTGCTTTGTTTTGTTCATCAGAGCAAATTGCTTTTTCTTATTCTCCTCCACACAAAGTACTGAAGTGTGAACTCGATGGAGTTCTGCCCTTTGCAAGGCAGTGTCAGTGTTCTCCAGGCGTCCTTTCTATCAACTCAGTGGAGGGAGGACGCCTGCAGCTCTCTCAGTAGACACAAAATAAACAAATACTTTGGCATGCAGCACTGATAACCTCCCTTCTCTGGCACTACTGTGCTTTGAATGTCATTGAGGGGGACATAAGGAGCAGGAATTGAGCAAGTGCAGTGCAGGCAGGTGCTGGGTTTGCAGCTTGGTTCCCATTCTGTGCTGTGTTTCAGAAGGGAATAAGGCTCTGCCTGGAGCAGATCTCATGGTTTGACCCAGTTGCTCTCTCACAGAGCTGAGTGGCAGTCCCAGCCGTTCTGTAACTCTTGTTTTGGATCTTGCTGTGTTGATTAGGGGTTCTTTAG